AAAACTGAACACAACATTGTAGAACTGTTGTCATAAGCTTTACTATGTGGAATATGTCTAACCATATAATTTCTACTATAAAACTGAAGACAACATTGTAGAAGTGTTGTCATAAGTTTTACTATGTGGAATATGTCTAACCATATAATTTCTACTATAAAACTGAACACAACATAGTAGAAGTGTTGTCATAAGCTTTACTATGTGGAATATGTCTAACCATATAATTTCTACTATAAAACTGAACACAACATTGTAGAAGTGTTGTCATAAGCTTTACTATGTGGAATATGTATAATCATATAATTTCTACCATAAAACTGAAGACAACAGTGTAGAAGTGTTGTCATAAGCTTTACTATGTGGAATATGTATAATCATATAATTTTTACCATAAAACTGAAGACAACATTTACTATGAATAACACGAAGTCAGCACATACTATTGATTTTGACGAGTAATATTACAGATATTTCGAACATTTTACTTTAAAATTATTATTATTATTACGTTACTTGTTGACTAAACACTTATCACTTACACAGAAACATATAATTACAGAATTTACTGTTTGGATAAAATAAAAAATTATCAAGATTTTGATGTATTTTGCACAGTGTTAAACGGAAACACAGAGAAAGCCTCATTTAGTGATTGTTTTGTGTTTCACTGTACTATATTTCGTAACATTTCATTTATTCATATTTATGTTATAAAACATTTAACGTCATGGGTTTAAATAATGAAAACTGTCAACCAACGTTTTTTCAAGATATTATAAAATGTCTGATTTAAGTATTAACGAATTTATCGATATTCATTATGCATCACTTTTGAATAGTCACAACAATATTGATAGAGTAAGTTATCGATACTTATAAAATTCACGTCATAGAATCTCTTGTTTTTACCTGTCACTAAGATGAAGCAAGCTGTAAAAGTTACTTGGATGTTACTCATTCTGGATGTTGTTGGTGTGAGGCTCTCAACTGTAAGAATAGAGAGGAAAAAACTGTTTAATTGCCATGTTTAGCGACAGTTACGGTATATTGAAATAAATTACCTGACTATATTTACAGCAAAATACATTGCAGTAATAACATATATTTCCTATCATTGCTTCTATAACGAGTTATTCACATATATTCAAACAATATTAGAGGGAAATATATTTAGAGACACAAACTCATCAACACATCAATTCAACAGTGTCGTACTCAGAGTGAGTGAGTACATGCAATCAGAAAGCTAGACTAACCCAACACATTCAGGATCAATAGTGTTGCTCTCCGAGCGAGTACCGGGTGTAATCTGGAAGTTAGACCAAACCAACACATTCAGGATCAGCGGTGTCGCTCTTAGAGTGAGTACCGGGTGTAATAAGGAAGCTAGACTAAACCAACACATTCAGGATCAGCGGTGTCGCTCTTAGAGTGAGTAACGGGTGTAATAAGGAAGCTAGACTAAACCAACACATTCAGGATTAGTGGTGTCGCTCTTAGAGTGAGTACCGGGTGTAATAGGAAGCTAAATTAACCCAACACATTCAGGATTAGTGGTGTCGCTCTTAGAGTGAGTACCGGGTGTAATCATGAAAGTTGCATTATTCATAGTTTAACTACTAATTCTCAGTAATTATAAATAATGGTTTTTAGGGTAGTAATTAAAGCATTAATTCACAACACCATTTACTCATAGAGTATCACTAAAGGTGAGAATTTTATTATTATACTTGATGAACACATGTACATTATTATAAGCGGCATATTAATTGAGCAATTTTCTCTAAGTGTAGGTTAAAGTGTTGTTTTTTCTTTAATTATTGAAAAAACAAATATATCATTGTTCCTAATACCATTGTTGGTAATATCTGTATAAGCATTGCGAATTACCTGTGGTCGTTTTGAAATTACTTGCAATAGGTTTGTTGGTTTGGTTCAAATTAATTATTTTGTAAGCAAAGGAGATACCAAACCTTGTTAGATACCCACCAATCCGTAATTACATACTTGCTTAGAAGGTACCACGTGGCAATTTAAGAGAAGTGCCGATATACGGGTGGCATAATTTATATTAATAGTATAACAGCAGCTAGTTCAAATCTGTTTATGGTATGTATCAGCAAACACCGATATATTAGTGGAACCATAATAAGTGTCAATGTATTGGTGATATATTTGCAACTAGCACAATTGCATTTGTGGTATGCTAGCAAGAACTAATACATTAGTGGCATATTAGCAAGAACCAATACGTTGGTGATATAATAGCATGTAGCAGTACATTGAATGACAAGTCAGCAAAAACCAGTATATTGGTGGTATAACGGCAAGTACAGAGTGTTGAGCCCACTACACGAAAACAATTTTGAATATGAAAATCAGTAAGGTATGTGACTATCACAACTGATACAAAGTTGCGGAGCAACGGAATGTATCAGAACTATAACTAGCATTGTTTGTGTTTCATACGTAGTGTGATGCTACAGGAAAAATTGATTGTTTTTTGAAAGGACATGTAACAGTTCTTTCGAACGCAAAATATTCATACTTGGCTCATAAAGATGTGCTGAGATTGGGTATCTAGAATCTCCAAGATTCTCCTTTGTATTTAACTGCATTTGAAAACAAAGGATTATGGGTCAGTTTGGGACACCAGAAACATTTAGAAAGGGACCTACAAGTAGTACTCTAGACGTGGTAAGAAACGTGTGGCGTATTGTGATCCACGAACACAAAGTTCATTGGCAAAAGCCGTCCACGTGCCCCAGGCAACGGTAGGCAACATAATCAAGAAGGATCTTCACCTGAAAAAAAAAAAGAGAGAGAGACAGGAGTCACGTGTTTACAGAAGCTGCTTCCACGACCTATGGATTCAACCGTCGCATACCTCAAGCAGCTTGCGAATGAAACAGGTATTTATGTTATTCCATACGAAGACATTCGGTTGCTAGGAAACAGCGATTATTTTACATTAGGTGGTAAAGGAAAACAATAAAAAACAACAACAACAGGGAGGTGAAGCGTGCTTTGGGCATGGTAATCTTAGGACGGAATCTTGTGAAATGGAAACTACAGTGAAAGGGGCTATAGTCCAGATGCATGATCTTCAAATAGAGCATGATCGGATGTGGCGACATGGACTATAACGACGTAATGAGACTCCAAAATCGTTTTAATATAACTCACTCAACCTCTGTAGAACCATTATGCTGATTCGAATTTTATAAAACACTGACATCATGTCCGAAAAACACGTAGGTTCAAGAAGTTTGAATATAAAACGATAAAAATCCTGTAACCAGAGCGCTTTCGAAAGGTGGACCTTTCTTTTTCAGGGGAAAACTGGGAATAGTAGTGTAACTGAGTGAGTGATATATAAAGGGAGTTGAGTGACGTCATGAAGGTCATATGGGCTTCCAGGAAATGTTTTTGAATATTCTTCAATGTACTGTTGTAAATGTATCTATTTCCGGTGCAACGCGGCCGGAAACGAGAGCGTTGTCTAAAAAGGTGTTAGAGATGTTTTGCTTTAGAAATGGTCAAAAAGAACTATACTTAAATATTGTTAAAGTAAAATAACGGTGACACATGGAGATTGACAAAAAAAAATGTTAAGCAGGTCAACTTTTAAAGACAGGCATAGAAAATTATCATAAATAAACAGTATGTATTACAAAGATTAGGGGTAAACATTGATACGTCACACTGCATGAGAAAAAAAAAATAATAGTAAAAATTATTTTTCTGACAGAGAACAAATCAATGATTGGAGATCACTGATTCCAGGTTTTAGATTTATTCCACTAGGTTGAACAGTATTTATATTAGCAATCCAATAAGATTATTTTATCTCTGTTGCAGCTTTAGTTTTAAAGTCGGTTTCAATGCCGATGAGAGTAATATCGTTAACAGAATGACCAGGTTGGTTGAAGTGTTGACAGCAGGGAGATATTTTTCAGTGTTAATAGAAGACTTATGGTTACTGAAACGTGCTCTAAGAGTGGTTTGGGTATGTCTTACATATTGATGATTGCATTTTCTTACATTGTATAAGGTAGACGGTATTCTGTGCAACACAAATGATTTCTTTAGAAATTTAAAAGTTTCTCTGGTTGTGCTTGTCAGAAAATAAGTCAGTAGTTTTTATGAACTTACAGGTTTGATAACGAGCTTTATTACATAGGTGACAACCATTCTTTGGTGGGTGTAATTCACTTTTGCATGAACAAGGATATCTTTTAGACTTCTGCTTTCCCGGAAGGAGAGAACAGAAACTTCAGGAAATATCTGTTTAAGGCGATCATTCAGTTGTAGGAGATTTTTTTTTTTTTCGGAATGTGCGAAACGTTTTTGAGTTTAATAAAGTGATAGGTAATAACAAGAATAATTCTCTTTGAAACTTTAGTATTGCTCTGTTTTAGGACGTTTTCTCGCTGAGTGTTGTTAGCTTTTTGATCTGTCTGTCAGTTTCGGTATCTTTTTATCCTCTTTGTATCATCGTTTGTTTTAGATCCTTAGTGTATATTCTTTAATCTGTTTCACCTAAACAATTTCCTTTATTGAAGAACTTGAATGTATGTAATGTTCCGCATAGTATGAGTGGGGTGACAGCTTTTATAGTGAAACCGCTTGGGTTACAGGTTTTTTTATTTCTTATAATGAATGGAAATATTACCTTATGTCATTTAGTAACAGATGTATTTTAAAAGATATAAATAGTACCATAAATTATTTTTTTAATGATAATTAAGATACCTACATGCTTCGAATGCTATTTCCTCTAACATTAAAGAATTAGAAATGTAATTTATTCTAGCATAAATCTGCGCTGTATTTCCTGTGGGGATCGAACTCCATAATTCTAGCGTTATTTCAGCTCCCTGTCGAGATACCGGGAAAAAAATCTAGATATAATAATTTTCTTACGTTTTTTAAAAGATTACCTCTGTTTTCAAATAAAACAGCGAAGCTCGCATTCTTAATAAAAACACACACACACACACAAATATTAGTTTGGCAGAACCATTATCGTAATAGGCTCAACTACCTTGCATAAAAAGCGCACTCTTCTAGAAATTAATCATACGAACATAAATGTATACATAAAATAAAGTGGTGGGATTATTTTATGCATCGATGTTTTTTAAGTGCATTAAACACATTCATGGTTACCATAACTACAAAAATATCTATATTACTACTTACCTCTAATGGCATGAACCAGAGTAGCTCAGTTTCCACTAACAGATATATTAAAATTATATACATTGAAAGAATGGGTCCGGTACAGATATATATATATATATCAGATTACATGCTAAAAATGATATAGAATGACCGCTACGCAAGATAAAATGTACAAAACATGTGGTTGTACTGATTTCTTTTACAAACGTTTCAGGTAATATTTTAATTACACACTCATCCACACAAGAACGCTTGTATACGCGTGCGTGACAGAAATATACTTTTAACTCACAGATTTAAAAATGACTTTTTAGATTAGGGCTGCTAATCATTATATGACGCTTCGTAATTTACTTATAGCACGATATAAATGTATACATAAATTCTTGCATTTGTGCGCAACACTCTCAAATAAAATTCAGTATAAACCTTTCAAAATAAAACAAGTTTTAAAAGTCTATTACATATTATGAATGGTCCAATGGAATTAAAAAAAATCCAATTAAAACATTTGTTACTGAACTTACTATTGGATTAGGACTCTCGAGATTTCAAGACTCACTGGTTCAAGAAGAATCATCGCTTCTGGAAGAACAGAGTCTAGAACGTTTGATTCAGTCCGTTCCCGTCACCTTTTTTTTTTTTAACCCAGAAATGCCTAGCGGCACGTTCAGTGAGCAGGGCCAGCCCCATGACCTGTTCAATAGCAGCATTCTTTAGATGCCAAGTACTTGTTTTGATAACAACTATACAAAATTTTTACTTTAACGCTTTGAAAATTTGAAATATTATATCTGACTTAAAAGAGAATGTGCTATCAAACATTTGTATTAACTTGATTTGACTTCCAAAGATTGAATCTAGGACCTCTTGATAGGGTCAAGGTGAGTAACTTCCTGAAGGATGAGGAACAAACAAAAAAGGACACTGCAGTTCATTCACCTGTTGGAAGATAGAAACCACAGCAGTCGACCAGCGAAACTATGACAAGATATAATCACTAGGCTCTTTCATTAGAAAGCAAAACTTTTACAAAATAACAGTAAGATATCGAAGTAAATTATTGAAACTTAGAGAAAAATATTAGATGTAAGCTAGTATGATAGAAAATTTGAAATCAAATAGAGAATTGCGAGATAATAAGTCTACATATTTAATTTCTAAAAAGAAAATCTTAACAGTAGAAACAACAAACACGCTGCTCTGATCTTTATATGTGCCAAAATTTATGATCGCAAAAACACAACAACAACAACAGTCTTTTTCGTTGAAAGTTTTTAATTTAGTAAGGTGAAGAATACCTCGAATGCCGATTATATCATAATTGGTACTATGTTAATGGCATTTTTGAACTGTTTTTTTAATTCACCGATAGACTTCCCTCCTGTAGGAAACCAAAAGATAACTATCAATAAAAGTAAAAGTTTGGCGTTACAGCTTCCTACCTAACATTACAGGTACCAGTCTAGTATTACAACTACAATCTGTCGTTAAAGCTGTCAGTATATAAAAATGATAAGTAGCTTGCTTGCTTGGTTAATTTCCGGCTTCAGTTTGTGGATGACCAACTTCTCTTACACAGAGACCCTGGTCATCACTGGCCGTTGCTTAGATCTTAGGTCAAGTTCAAGTACACTCTAAATTATAAGCTACCAGTTAAGTAATACAACCACTAGTATAGAAATATAACTACCCGTCCAGCCTTAAGCTATTAGTCTAAAATTACTGCTACCCGTTTTTCAATAAAATTACCAGCCTTCTATAACATCCAGAAGATAGGCAATACAACTACCAGTCTAATATTTATATTACTAGTCTAGTGATAGACCTACCAGTCTAATATTTATATTACTAGTCTAGTGATAGACCTACCAGTCTAATATTTATATTACTAGTCTAGTGATAGACCTACCAGTCTAATATTTATATTACCAATCTAGTGATAGACCTACCAGTCTAATATTTATATTACCAGTCTAGTGATAGACCTACCAGTCTAATATTTATATTACCAGTCTAGTGATAGATCTACCAGTCTAATATTTATATTACCAATCTAGTGATAGACCTACCAGTCTAATATTTATATTACCAGTCTAGTGATAGACCTACCAGTCTAATATTTATATTACAAGTCTAGTAATAGACCTACCAGTCTAATATTTATATTACCAGTCTAGTAATAGACCTACCAGTCTTATATTTATATTACCAGTCTAATAATAGACCTACCAGTCTAATATTTATATTACCAATCTAGTGATAGACCTACCAGTCTAATATTTATATTACCAATCTAGTGATAGACCTACCAGTCTAATATTTATATTACCAGTCTAGTGATAGACCTACCAGTCCAATATTTATATTAC